AAGAAATGGACAAAGTCCGACAATTTATTAAAGACATTTTTATGTTTAACATTCTTTTATAGATACAAATATAATTTTATTATAAACAGAGCATTTACTTAAATACTTGTATCTATAAAAGAATGTTAAACATAAAATGTCTTTAATATATATGTATATATATATATATATATATATATATATATATATATATATATATATATATATATATATATATATATATATATATATATATATATATATATAGATAGATAGATAGATAGATAGATATGCTATTCGGGATGTTATTTACATTCTTTCTATATTTCAGAATATTGAATGAGTAATATACTTATATATTTTTTTTATAAAAACATTATGCTAAATTGTAATATTATTTTGCGAGAAGATTTTTTTAAATGACACGAATCCTTTCAAAATCTGTTTGTCGAAATCTTTCATTGATATAAATTCATTGAATCGAATTGTTTTTGCAGTCAGCAACAACAAAAAGAAAAATAAATCCTTTCATCGCCTTAGTCGCCTTTCAGTTAAAACGTGTATTTCATCTTAAACGAAAGCTTGTCTTATAATTGATTAATTTTTCGCTGGATTTCTGAAGTTGTTAAAATCGCTGACTCATGCAGGATTGTTCCGTGGCGCGAAACTTGTGATAGGTTGAAAAATAAAATACTTAAGGAATACGCCATTTTGTTTTCCCTTTTTTTTAAATAATATTAATTTCATCTTTATCATATTCATTTATTCATACGTGTTTGCTCTTCTCGGCATTAAAATCATTAGTCGTTTTTCCTACTCAGATAAACATATTCATTGATCCAATTTGATTTACAAAACACTTTACAGCTTATTAGTTTTCAAGCAACTTACACGCCTTCATTCTATCAGTTTCTTTACAACATGTTTTCAAGGCTGGCTGAAAAGTAACGGGACTTACTAGTACTTCGCTGTGAAAGTCATTGCAGACAGTGAGTTTTTGACACACGGCCAGACAATCGATCAGCAAGTCTACAAAGAGATTCTACGATGTTTGCTAAGCTCAATGCGCGAGGTGGGACGAGAGTTGTGGCAGGACAAATCCTGGCTGCTTCACCACGACTGTGCACCTTCTCACAACGCCCTGAGCATCCGGCAGTTGCTGACCGAGAAGAACATCGCCGGACTGGGGAAACGTCTCTATTCATTTAATCCTGGTCACTGTGACTTTTTTTCCCCTTTTCCCAGATTTCATGGGGATCCTAAATCAAACCTGTTTTTAAGGCGTGGAGGCCATCAAGAGGCCCGTAAAGACGGAGCTGAGGGACATCCAAGAAGAATCCTTTCAACAGTGCATAAAAGCGTAGCAGAGAAGAAGCGGCAAGTTACTTTGAAGGAGAAACCACGTAGTTTGTTGTTTAGAGTTTAAATAAATTGTTCGGGACACCAATCCCGTTACATTTCAAAAAACATCGTAACCAGACAGCTCTTTCAAACATTTTTTTGGAATTGAATGAGAAATGTTTGAACTCACAGATAATTTGGAAGATTATAAGTTCCGCACGTACTCCTAATAGTCATAGAGATAGGTGTGACTTACGTTCAAAAGAAAAAAAATAATAATAATATAATACAACATTCAATGTCAACTATTACATCAGAGGAATGAATTAATGTGAAAATGTCGACATAAAAACAAATTCAAATTTCCATAATATAGCTTTAGCTTAATTAGTTTCTGTATTTACATAATATTCACTTACTCTAATTCTTCAAATGTTGAATGTATCTAATTTCTATATTTCCCCTCTATAACCTCTTTAGCTATATGAATTATAATTAATAAAGTTTCCCCGATTTTAAGATCCCCCCAAATTTTTTTCTATTAATCCCTTACATCCTTTTATCTAGATAAAAAACTTTAAAAGTTATTTTAAACCCCTTTTTATTCCTTCTTTGATTTTTAAATAATTTTTCAGTCTTCATATAACAACAAATTAATGTCAAGGTTATAATTTCATAAACCTTTTTCACTTTAAGACAAATACATTCAACTCTCTCCTGACCTCTGTTCGTTTGACTGAAACATTGAAATGGATGAATTCTGTAGTAGTTTTCCTACTTTTTCTAGCTTTCACGGTTAATTTTATCTATCTATCTATCTATCTATCTATCTATCTATCTATCTCAGTCTCTTCATCTATCCATCTATCTATCACATCGCATTCATATATATCAATCTATGTATCTCTCGAGTTATCTATCTCGGTGCATTAATATCTATCGAAGCGATTCATATCTATCTATCTATCTATCTATCTATCTATCTATCGAAGCGATTCATATCTATCTATCTATTTATCTCATCTCAGATATATTCATCTATCTATCTATCTATCTATCTATCTATCTCAATCTCTTCATATCTATCTATCTATTTATCTATCTATCTATCTCATCTCAGATATATAGACAGCCATTTAACCTTTATTTTAAAACATCGCTATGTTTCTGTTCTATCTAATCAAACATCGAAAATTCTATGCAAGTAACTCCGGACAGAAAACCCGGAGTGGAGCCCCCAAATGCAGTTGGCTGTCAACAGTGACGACTTTCAGGCCACACCCATAGCCAAGCCGCCCCCAAATGTAATCCTCTGTATTTTATTTGTATCTTGTCAGTATAGCCAAAATACTTTGGTGGGCCATTGTAGCCTGGGCAGCACACAGCCTCCATATACCATCGCCCAGGCCTACACCTCGGACTTATCACTCCAGTCACGCAACCAGAGGACTGAATTTTGACCAGTGTGTTACCTTTACCATGCGAAACAGACGGCTGCCTATTTTCGTTATTATTGTATTCCTTTAGATCTTGTCGGTACAGCCGAGGGTCGGAACATGTAGTTTGGGCAGAACACGGCCTTCACATTCTATCGGCTAAGTAAAAAAGAAAACTCTGTATTCAAAGAAACTGCTGTCTTGTAAGTCTTGTCTCTTTAACCCCTGAGAGGAGGGACGAGGCAACATCAATATTCCGGGCCAAATGAACCGGCAAGCAATTGCTCTTTCATGCGTTGAATGTTAGCATGAACCACGGTTGAGATATAGAGGCGAGTGGTAAACACGGGGCGGCATAAAATGAATGAAAACATTATAAGTAGCATAATAATCACAGGAAGGTCAGACAGTTACTCAAATACTTAAATAAAAACAAAACAAAAACTAAGTCCATCTCCAAGGCTGAGAACAGATAAAGAATGAAGACTAGCGCCTCGTAGCCATCTGTTTCGGGTAGATAGGGCTCGGTACCCTAGGAAGGCCGGCCATCGAGGAGAAGGAAAACCACCTTGTAGGCAGAGTCTCTTTAGTTTTTGAGAGGAAGCGCGGGGTAACATAAACATTCCCAGTGCAACTGGTACATGCAATTGATTGCACAATTCTGCATTTCGAATGTCGCCATGAACCACAATTGGGAGATGGATGTGAGCTGACAAAATGAGCTAAACGAAGTAATTAACGCAAGGATGAAATAATTATCTATATCAATATAAGCAGAAGAGAGAATAAGCTGAAAAAAAACTAGAAAAAAAACGCTTCCTCAAATCATAGAGAAAATCAGATATTTTCTCTAATCTTATCCAACAATGATAAGAAAGAAAGAAAAAAATTTTTTTTAAAATTCTTCATAATCCTACACTGTCTCGAATGAACAGAAAAGAGACGGGTAAACCTTTTCTAAGCCTCACTCAGAAAGAAGACACGTAAACGAATATTTTTGTTGTGGTAACACATTACCATTTCTTATAAAACTAGAAAAATTAATTCAGATTTCTGTCTTAATTTCTGTACATTTGAGCCCTATGCTAAGGTGACAGGTGTGCTTCTTTTTCTATGCGCAGTGTCCCTTCAGCACCTAGGGGATCATGGCCCTCCACACCTTCCTGTTCATTGTATCTCTGAATAAGTTTTGTGTTTTCGTTATTTCTCTCAAACCTGTTCTACCATCCATTTACTCAACCTCTTTCTTCTTTTATGCCTCGTGCCTCTTCAGGACGTAGGCGATTATGACCCTCCATATCTTCCTGTTTCTTTAGCCCTTAATAAGATTTGTCTTTTTGTTATTTCTCCCAAACCATGTTATATACATTCCATTTACTCAAGCTCATTCTTCTTCTTCTATGTGCCATGTCTATTCAGGACGATCATGATCCTCCACATCTTCCCGGTCCTTCATTTCTTAATAAATTTTGTCCATTTGTTATTTCTCCCAAACCTGTTCTAGTGTTAAACGACATCTGCGTCCTGGGTAGGACGTTAAACTACGTCCAGTAGCAAAGCCTCTGATCAGGAGGTTTTGAGGAGCGTCGAACCACCTGTTAATTGCTGGTGTTCCCAGATTCACTCTGACCCGGGGTGGTAGCACCTGTTAGGGTCCCAGCTATGGGCAAATAGTTAACTATTACCAGCAATACATTTTTTAAAAAATTATTACCAGCAATACAATTTTGAAGGAAATATATTACCAGAAACAGATTTTTGACAAATGAATAACCCATTGAAGTTGATATGCCGTAAAACAAAATAAACCAAACCAATCTAAACCAAAGACAACATATTCTATTCAAACGAATCTATCCTAAAAATGTCGTCATTAGATAACCCAATGAGTTTGATATGACGTAAAACAAAATAAACCAAACCAATCTAAACCAAAGAATACGTACTCTATTCATACGAATCTATCCTAAAAAATATTGTCGGCATTAAATAACCCATTGAGGTCGATATGCCCAAAATAAACCAAACCAATCTAAACCAAAATAAATTCATACGAATCTATCCTTGAAAATGTTGGCATTAAATAACCCATTGAGGTTGATATGCCGTAAAAACAAAATAAACCAAACCAATCTAAACCAAAGAATACATATTCTATTCATACGAATCTATCCTAAAAATGTTGCCGGCATTAAATAACCCATTGAGGTTGATATGCCATTAAACAAAATAAACCAAACGAAATCAAACCTGTACTACCATCCATTTATTCAATATCATTCTTGTATGTGCCGTTTCTCATCAGGACGTGGGTGAGTATGGCCCTCTCCCACATCTAAATGGGTAACCGTTTGTGAATATCAAGTGCTGTAATGGATAATGAACCTGAATTGTTAATCGGTGATCTGTGTTCCAATTCTAATTTGTTATATTCTCTTATCCGCAAATACCCTAGGGAATAATATGATTCTGTCTTATGTCCTCGTCTATCTGTTAATTAATAAGACTTGTGTCAGTCAAACATTATTATCTCAACAAAAAAAAAAAAAATCTTACAATCTAAAAATATTTCCTGACTTTAAATAACCTACAAATCGTTGATGCGCATTATCTGATGGTAATATTTATATATATATATATATATATATATATATATATATATATATATATATATATATATATATATATATATCGGTGCACCCCTCCAATCCTCGAGGGCCTGAGCGTGTCAGTTTATTTCTCCTCTGACCTTTACTCTAGCAGCTCAATGAAGGGAAAAAACTATTAGGTTGGTGCAAAAATAATGACGTAAGAATGTCGTTTTTCGACGTTAAAAAATACGTCAAAAAACGACATTATTACGTCATTATTTTTGCACCAACCTAATAGATGGTTACATTCAGTGTTCCAAAGAGCAAACTTATGGCGATCCACTATCAAGGATAGGGCCCAGAATTTTCACCGATCATGATGTTCACTCAGTGAGGCCCTGTGCTCTGAGCGCCTATTGGGGCTTGAACTAAACTAAAACCTCAAGTAAAACTCATACATACGATCCATCACTAAAGATGTCGGAGAAGACTGTCCGTTCCTTCTCCCCCTCCAGCAAGTTCCTCGTTTTTCCTGCTAACCTCTTCCTCTGAAAGAGCCAGATGAGGCTGAAACTAAGGTACTGATGATACATTTAGAAGAGTTTTGTCGTCGGAGTCCATCCTTCTCATGTACAAACCAACCATTCGTCCTTGCGTTGACTACTGTTGCCCTATATGGCCTGGTGTCCCCACTGTTCCTCTCGAGGTTTTCGACAAAATCTAAAGAGAGATATTCAATGTGATAGGTCCTGTCTTTTTTTGGTCTTCCTGGGCTGTCTTTTCTCTAAATATTTTCAAGGCATCTGCTCTGACGAGCTGTTTTCATTGGGGCCCCGACTGCATGAATTTAAACGTGCTACTAGGTTGGCATCTCGGTTCCACCCGTTTACAGTCGAAAAAGTTAAATGCAACCGCCTTTTCTACTCCAACAGCTTCTTCTCTCGCACTTCCCGACAGTGTAACTCCCTTCCTCTTACATGTTTCCCCTGATAATTATAGGCTTCAAATATTAAAATATAATGTCAATAGACATAATCTGTTGCCTTAATCCCCGTTCTTCTTTGTATCCTTTCGTCAATCCACGCCCTATACCCAGTTTTTTCCCTTAATTAGATTTACCCTAGCCCCTTGTGGCACTCCCGCCTTGCTTGGGGTGAACTGCTTAAAAAATGGGCGCCAAGTTTTCACTTTCAATTATCGATGGAGTCCAAAAGCGTCTCCGGGTCATTGCAGGCGACGAATTATTTTCCCCTCTGCAACGTATTTCTCACGTCGCTGTTTCCATGGAGATTGTTTCAGATGACTTACTCTCTTTAGTGCCTCCAGTCGTAAACTTCACGACTAAGGCTCACTATGCCGCGCACATTTTAGCGAACCACAATCATTCCTTTCATTTTACAAAGTGATGTGGCCACAAGCATAAAAACCCCCCAGAAATCTTGACAATGAAATTATTCTTGCGTTTGGCGATATCTCCGGCAGCTGATCGGAACATTGAATGCTTTGAGGACCTCGGAAACACTTGTAGGAATCCTTCTACTCGGTTTTTCATTGAATGTTAAAATTTGGAGTGTCGGGATTCGATACAATAACAAAATATCCTCACAGGGTCGTTCGTAGTTTGACCGTCTAGAATAATCACACGATTTTCATTGAAGGAATAAAATTCAGAAAAGACAACGAGTTTCAATAAATAAACATTAATTTAATATAACGACAAGAATACAAGCAATGATAGATTGGAAAGAAATGTCTTTTGTTTTTTGTCGATAAAATGTTATACGTGCATTTGTATAAAATTTGGATATGTCTGAAATATAAAGCATTGAATTTTGAGGTTTGTATCTTGTAGTTTGAAGGGTTAATTGGTCTATATGTGTTTTTGTATGAAAAAGATTAAATTAACAGTGCTAACCTCTAGGTTGTCTGATAGTTTTACGGATTCAAAATTCCATATTCAGAGACTACGGCAAAGGAAATCGTTTCGTTGAATGTTAAAATTTGGAGTGTCAGGATCGATAGTTTCGAAGTTTGTCTGAACCGTCAAGAATTCACACGATTTTCATTGAAAGAATAAAATAGAAAAGACACAAGAATACAAGCAGTTGATGATAGAATGGAAAGAAATGTCTTTTTGTTTGGGTTAATAAAGT